CGCTTGTTTATATAATTACTCTGTTTTAAAAGCTGGCGAAATAAGTTCGTAGGAGCTATTACACTAGGATGTAGAATGTTTGCTTTAGAAAATAAGATAGAGTTTAGTACATTATCCAAGAAATTAGAAATAGTGGCTAAAGAGCTTTCTATTATATTAAGTAAAGCATATATTTTAGAAATATGTGATAATTGATTATTATTTCTGACAATTTGGGATAATACAATATTTAAAGAATTTATTTGAGAATTTAATTTATTTTCATTCATATTTAATTTATATATTGTTGAGTTAAATACATTAATAGAAGATTTAATTATGTGAATATTATCCTTCATTAATTTTAAAAGTTCGGATTCGCTATTTTGACAAGCGCTAATGGCTGCATCGTATTTTCGTGCATCATCAGCATCTAAAGTTCCAAAAAAGAATTTCAAAATTTCTCCACCGAATTCTAAAGCTCGTTTATGCCTTGTTTGTTCCTCGGTAGGGACTATATGCGAAAGAGATTCGAATTTAGCAAAATTAGAATTTAATAATACTTCAATAGGACTTATGATATCATTACATTCAGCGAAACCATGGAGTTGGAAGTTTTCGCAGAGCGTTGCAGTTTTAATTATAAGCGAATATATATTCTCTAGATGTGGCTTAACTGATACTACGTCTATATGAGTTACAACATTCCAAAAATCATTATAAAAGTTAATTGTAGTTATTTGATCGAAATAAATACCTGGACTATTATAAATAGGTAGAATTTGAGTTTCAGCGTTAAATTGGTGGCTTATGGCCCTGAATTAAAGTGAAATTAAGGATGAGCTGGTTTAATTTCATTAACATGGTATTTCATGTGCTTATGACCTATGAGAAGGGTTACGTTATGTTTGCCATTTAATTTAATAATTTTATAAGGACCTTTCCAGATAGGAGATAAGGCTTTGCGAAGTCTGTGGTGGCATTTTAAGTAAACCATATCGCCTGTTTTGTAGGATATATCTTTACTATTTTTGTCATAATAATTTTTCGATGTTTCTTTATTTTTTATTATGTGTTCTAATGCTTTTTGTCGACTAAAGTTCATGCGGTATTGTAATGCGCGGATATATTCATGATAAGTAGTGTCATTGCTGCTCGTATTATATAAAGAATTTGGTATTGTGGGTTTATGCCCATATAGCAATTCATAGGGTGTATATGTAGTAGTGGTATGAGGGGTAGTGTTGTAAGAGAATACTGCGGTTGCTAAGTAATAATGCCAATCATTCTGATTTTCATTAACGAAAGATTTCAGGTATTTCTTGAGTGTAGCATGACTACGTTCTAAGGCACCATTTGTTTGGGGATGATAGGGGGTAGCATATAAGGGTTTTATTTTAAATATTTGAGTTACTTGTTTAAATAATTCCGATGTGAAACATGTGCCGAGATCTGTTAATATCGTTTTAGGAATTCCAAATAATGAGATAAAATGAACTAGTGTACCAGCTACTTCATCGCTGCTGGAAGTTATCATTGGGTATACACATAAAAACTTGGTTAGGTCATCTTGTAGAGTTAATATAAATTTAAAGTTTTGCAAGCCAGCTTCGGGTAGCGGACCGACTATATCTAAAGCTAATCTTTCAAATGGTTTTGTACTTGTGGAGGTTATCACCATTGGAGCCTTATTACATGATCTCAGTGGTTTATTTACTTGATACAATTTACAATTTTTCACGTAACTTTCTATATCAGAACGCATCTTTTTCCAAAAATATAGATCCTTTAAACGATTTAACATTCTTTTAATTCCGGGGTGACCAGCAATTGTTGAGTCGTGATTTTCTATGAGAATTTGTGGAATTTCGGCAGGAGTAGGGTAAATAATTTGATTTCGGTATATATGAATTTTAATGTTAGTATTATGAAATATGTAAGCAATTATGTTGTATATTTTCGTATAGGATAGTTTAGAGAACGGGTCAGCAAAATCGGAAATGGCTAAATCAGTGATTTGACTATTTTCTGTTAATATATTATCGCGTAGTTGCATTAGTAAATTGTATATATTTCGGTATGTTAACTCTTCGAAATGGTGAATTTTCATATATAAGAAATAGTATATTTTATCATTTTGCTTAACACAAGAGATAGTGTACGGTTCTCGTTCTGAGTTTATTATACCTTCGGGATTTTGTAGCTGAGATAGAATATAGAATAACATCTATATCTTATTTATTATATGTTATATTAACTGTTAGCGCTAATTGTGTTCGACTGTACATGCCAAGTTTGAACCCGTAACCTCGTGCTTGAGATTCATGCATACATGCCCTTATATCCCGTTCTATAATACCTGTCCCTACATTTTGGGAACGCCGTTCGCATTGAAACAAGCAACACTGTAAATTACAGAGCTACCAATCGGATCACGCGTCAAGTTACGATGAACGGACTATAAATATTATATGAATTGAGGACCACACAATATAGAGTAAAAATCTAGTTATAGGAGGGTATTAGCCTGGGCATTCACCAAAATTATGAAACTCTGAAGCAACGGCATGACGAAAAACTGTCAACAAAATGGCCGGCCTAGCGATTAATTTTACATTTTTAAATCGATTCAAATCGAAATTGGATGAATCGATTCACAAAAAATCGAAATCGTTAAGATCGATTTCACAAAAATCGATCTTTTTTTCATTTGCGTTATCAAATGATACAATAAAGTACAGATAACATTGAATGATTGAATCTTTACGAGTTAGGGTATATTCAACTAATTGTAAACAATTTTACAAATCTTAATAAAACAGAAAAGTTTCGATCTCGATTCTCTAGGGTGAAATATCGATTCACTAGATCGATTCAGTACTATATATCGATATGACATTGACGGATGAAACGTCAAAAACGTAATTAGTCATTTACCAATATTTTTTAAAAAATAATTAAAAATACTTCGACACTGCTCCGGCAGCAATAATCGAGTGGGGGTGGTTCAGATAAACCCCCTTGACCCCCCACAGTGACAGAATCTTCAAATTCAGGCGACCGAATCGTAAACCCAATCTAATTCGTCTTTCAGTTCCTTGACTTGCCAGTTAGAATACATGATGACATGATGTATAAATATGTGCTCCACTTATGTATTTAAATTGTCTTATAGCTGCAAAGTCGCAAAGTAAATAATTTACACGCTTCAATGCAATCAGCACAAAAAAAAACTGACAAAAACAATGACATGGAAACAAACTATGCTATCGCCATCTGCTTTTAGCTTCCACCGGCCAACCACATTGACAGAACTATTAAGTCCCAAGCTGATGTTCTTATGTTACAATATGATTTAAATAGGTTATATAATTGGTGCTGTACAAATGGAATGGAATTAAATATAGATAAATGCTTTTTTATTAAATTTACACGCAAACATAGTAAAACTAAATCCAAATATTATATTGATGGCAAACCATTAAAAGAAGTTGATAGAATTAAGGACCTGGGAATAATTCTAGATAACAAATTAACTTTCGTACCACATATTGAAAGCATTGTTAGGCGCTCATCTAATATGCTGGGCTTTATTATTAGAAACAGTAAAGTGTTCAAAAACTTACAGACACGTATCACTTTGTACAAAGCACTAGTACGTAGTCTTCTTGAATACTGTCCTGTTGTATGGAGGCCACACTATGCCACGCACATATTAAGAATAGAACGGGTCCAAAAACGCTTTTTATGGCATTTATCTCAGTTCTCCAAAGTTTCAAAGAAAAAGCTATCCTATCATGAAAACCTCAAACACTTTAAAATGTCCTCGTTGAATAAAAGAAGGACCCTTTTGGATCTAATATTCATTTATAAAAATTTTAATAAAAGTCAAGCTGAGTCGAATTGACTGCCCTCACCTTCTAAACCATTGAGTTATACAACACAATGGCTTGGAAGCTGAGGGCATGTGAGGGTGTGTTATATAAATCAATGTTCTAAACCTTTTTAATTTCAGGATACCCTTCAGGGTTCCAAGGAAACCCGTTTCTCTATTTTATCCGCCATTCCGCAGGACTGTTTTATGAAAACATTCACCAGATCCTCGTCTGTGTAAGGCTGTAAGGCATTAAATACGTGGTTTATTAATGATCCCAAGGATGTTTTCTCTCTTAAACTTAACCAGTTTCGTGCACATTTGTTAAAAAAAGTCCCAGATTAATTACACCTATCTTTTACCTGTTATAACTAGTTTAAAATTAACCTTATATCAATGTAAAAGGTACTTATGTCACATGTTAAAATAGCACGTTGTGTTTACCTGTAACTGATTGTGCATTTAGCTCATAATAGTTTATTTCAATGTAAGTTACTTTAAGTTTCTGTAATGTAAAAGTCGTTGGTAAACCAAATAAATATATAAATCTTTAAATCCAAATATTTTGCGTTATCATTCCATTATATATAATATTCATTCATCAAAATTACGAGATATTGCTAGTAAATGTATAAAATATATTTACATATTCGCACATGCATTATTCTAACTGTAATAGCGTTCTTCCCCGAAATCCTCACTCCATCGAAAGGGACAACGCTATACAACGAAAAAGGAAGTACTATGTACTGACTTTTATCCGACAGTTTAGAAAGTTGTTTGAGATTTTAGATAGTTAGAGAAAATAAAAGTATCGAGTACATAAATACTAGGAATCGAACTAAAAGTATCGATACTGCTCAGGTATCGGTACCTTTTGCGGATCCCATCTGTAATCTGCAACACAAGCACAACACAACACCATACAACACTGACGCTACCAGAATCTTTTAAGTCAATGTCATTTATTTTGTGACTACCTTTTGAAAATAGGTACCTACTACCTACTTATTCAAAGAGAGTAAAAATATAGTGTTCTGTGGTAAAAATCATTGCTATAAAATCAAAAATTGTCTTGTATATTAATTAATATTGGTACATATATTAAAGATTTGAATAATTTAAAACAAAAAATACGGCTTAAATGATGAAACTAGTCGATCAAGTTGTTAGAAGTTTTAAGGTAGCAAAAGTGTTTCGAGAAAACACGGACAAAATAAACAGTATAGACTTTTCACCTAATGGCGAGACATTAATATCATGTAGTGAAGATGATCAAATTGTTATATATGACTGTGAAAAAGGCACTCAAATGATTACAGTTAATAGCAAGAAATATGGTGTTGACTTAATACATTTCACACACGCCAAAAATACAGCCATTCACAGTTCTACAAAAGTTGATGACACAATAAGATATTTGTCTCTTCATGACAACAAATACATTAGGTATTTTCCAGGTCACACAAAAAAAGTTGTTACACTTTGTTTGTCACCAGTGGAAGATACATTTTTATCTGGATCCTTAGACAAAACATTGCGTCTTTGGGATTTACGTTCACCAAATTGTCAAGGTTTAATGCACTTATCGGGACGACCTGTTGCAGCTTATGACCCTGAAGGACTTATATTTGCAGCTGGAGTTAATTCTGAAAGTATAAAACTATATGACTTGAGGTCATTTGACAAAGGTCCTTTTGTTACATTTAAATTGAATCAAGAAAAGGAATGTGACTGGACAGGATTAAAATTTTCACGTGATGGAAAAACTATGTTGATAAGTACAAATGGATCAATTATACGGTTAGTGGATGCATACCATGGTACTCCTCTTCAGACATTCACTGGACATCTGAACAACAAAGGCATACCTATTGAAGCATCATTTAGTCCCGATTCACAGTACATTTTTAGTGGATCTACAGATGGTAGAGTACATGTGTGGAATGCAGATACTGGATACAAAGTCTGTGTTTTAAATGGAGATCATCCAGCACCAATTCAATGTGTTCAGTTTAATCCTAAATTTATGATGCTAGCATCTGCATGTACTAATATGGCATTTTGGCTCCCTACAATTGATGATGTTTAAGTTAAATTTTAGGGGCTTGTTCTGGTATCTACCTTTTTTCTTATAATTGACTAGAAAAAAATATGCGTACTGAAATGATCATTCATCAATCTTTTTCATAAAGTTGTCGTTGTGAAATATCCCTCAATATTGATGTTTAATAGACGACTTTATATGAAATAATAGTAAATAGTACATGCATTTAGATTTCATTCCATAATACATTGTACTTTGTCTTATAAATAAGTAAATTTTAAGATTTATGTATCTATTAATCACAAAAATATGTTTAGGAATATGTATTTCCATCTTAACTTTGAATGACTACATAATACAAAAATGTAAGAGTTTTATTTTATCCCAGTCTTGCAAATTAATATAAGAATTAAACATATTATTTGATGTTTACCATATCAATTTATTATTAAATATCTCTCTTGGAGACATTGCTTACTGAAACTCATCAATATAAGTTATATGGTGTATTTGTTGAAGGACAGTTGGGTAATTGTTAAAACCATTATTGTCTTCCATTCTAAAAAATTATTACAATCAAACAATTATTCATACAACATTTTGATTACAAAATGATCATGTTATGTATGTAAGTCTATAATTATTACTGCACATTTATAGTAAACTAACACTATTATTGCAATAAACATGCAGCACATTCATGTCCCTTATATAACGTCATGTGGTGGGAAATAGAACATGTAGCAAGATCAGATGTCATTGTGTTAGATTCTAATGTCCTGCGCTGATATGGCTATTCTGCAGAAGGTGTGTTCTTGCACCTTTTTCAATCTGAAAGAAAATCAAATCAAGCTCGTCATCACTTAGCAATATATGTAAGATAAGATAAATATTCTTTTTTAGTATGCATCAAGCAAATTACTCATTAAATAATGAACAATATTACATTAGTAAAAATAATGAACTGTCTCAGCTTTTGTTTTCTCCATATGCAAGCACTGCATCTGGATCTGCTAACCCATTTTTGGGATCTCCTTTACTTTCTTCAAATTCATTACTCATCGCTGACATAACATGTTGAAGAACAAGATAAGACAAACGCTCTGGAAGAACTACAGAGTGATTCCCCTGCTGAGCCGCATTTGCATATGATTCTCGAGAGTCATTACAATTTGTCTTGCACGCAGACTTCAAGCCTCCTGAACAAGCCAGTTTCCGAAAACGAAAAGGCTTTAATACCATAGACCACATATACCCTTCGGAAAATTGTACTAGAGACCAAATAGTACAGTTTACCACTTTGGCTTGTGTATGTGGACTATGTGAAAACCTTTGATACCGTCGAAATTTGGATAGTGCTACATTCCAATCAGCAGTGCCAAGTTTGTAAATCGAAAGTCTATAAATCGAAAGTCTATAAATCGAAAGTCTGTAAATCGAAGTGTTGAAGTGTTTGTACAATAGGGTACCCTATTGTACAAACACTGCCTGGCGTATGTGGACTATGAGAAAGCCTTTGATTCAAAACTTGGGCGGTGCTACAGTCTCTAAAGCGGTGCCAAGCTGACTGTCGGTATATCAAAGTGCTGAAGTGTTTGTACAGTAGGGCTACGATGGCTATCCGAATACAGAACCAGAGTATGAAATCCATCCAACTGCAGAGAGGTGTAAAAAGGGGTGGCGTTGTATCCCCGAAACTTAATGCAATGGGCATTGGTAGACGTTTTCAAGATACTGGACTGGAAAGGATAGATATTAACATGACTCACATTGGATTTGCCGATGATATATTCCTTATGACAGAATTGCTGTGGAACCTAAAACTGCTCAATAATCTCAATAGTGTTTCCCAACGGATTGGTCTTAAAATATACATGGACAAAACAAAGTTCATGTTTAATGTCCATGTGTCACACCTATACCGGTAGTTGTTGGGAACACTAAGCTCGAAGTTGTTGACGAGTAAGTTTACCTGGGACAAATAGTCTGTCGCGTATACCTCAAAATTTGAAAACAAGATTACCGTAAAAGTGACAATTTTGTCTACCAAAAATACTGAGGGTTGTCAATTGTTTTATTTTTTTAGATTGAATATTTTTCGTTTATAAATTATTAGTTCTTTTTACGTATTTTTTAACTTATCAAGAATTGAAGTCACTGTCAATTTTTTGATTACTTCCATATCAGATGTACTGACATAAATTTTGCTATACTTATTAATAACTTTCGAGAGTGATGTTCTAGTTTAGAAGTACTTATAAAAGTAAAAGCATTTTATCATGATTGGCCGACTAGTTTTGAACTTAACCAGCAATCACTGTCTGTATTTTAATTTTTATTACAGTAGGCCATCAGCTGCCTATGAGTTGCCTCATTTACTTTTTGAATAATTTAACTTTTGATTTTATTTACTAAGTGAATCTTTATTGATCTCAATATTGTAATTTAGAAATAAGAGAAAACAAAATTTAAATAAACGTTAAATTTTGAGTACGATTTTTTTCATATTTAACGCCCTCTATGGAAATTTAGTATGGTGATTGACATTTACTCGAATGTGACAACCCTAACAGTTAAATCTCTCGATGCGGCTTGTATGGAAAAGTGCGAAAATGGTAGTCAACATTGCCCACTCATTTTTCTGTAAAAGTTTTAACACTACTAATAAAGTTTTGAAACCAACGCTAAAGCCTCATTTACATACAGCCCCTGCCACTGCTCCTCGCGCTGCCGGCAATACTTCGCTAAATACTGCCGTAGCAGGATCGCGGGAAGTGTGTATTCACACTCTGCGCTATCACCTACCACCACTCACATCCAATCGCTTTCGGCTTTCGACTATGGCAGACGTCGAAATAATTACAGCGTCCGCGCTGTGTCTTCCTGCAATAAAAAATTATGTTAATAATTTAAAAAGATATCAAGTTCAAAAGAAGATAGATAGATAGAAAATTTATTTGCTTAAAAACATGGTACATAAGATGATCAATGACGTGGAACTGACATGTTTTGCCATAATTGGCATGCAAAAATGATATGAAATACAGCTAATTACACAAACCCAATGTTACATTTTAAAATTATTGCATTGCTTAAAAGTTAGGTACAAACATTTTTTTTGAATTCAAATATTATGTACAATTAAATACTTATACAGATCCACTCCATTTGAATTCTTATACAGTAAATTGTTCATAAATTATTAATTGAATTATGACATTTTTTAAAGCCTTTATTGCTGATTCTAAACATTTTGTTTTACATAGTATATGGTTGTTTTAACTTACGGTTTTCCAAGTGGCTACTGAGGACGCTACGTTATACAGCCGGCAGCCGCGCGTAGCTCTCAGCTACACGCGGCTGCCGACAGCTACCAGCTACTAGCTAGCTGACTAGCTGAATAGCCAAGGCCAACCAATAGCCATTAGCCAACGGGCAACGGGAAAATACACGCGCGATCGATGCAATCTTCATTCGCATTTCTTTTTTTTTTTTTTTTGCGCCCGAAGCAATTAAAGGGCTACCCTATACGTAGGGAGGCGGAAAATGCATTACGCATACCAAGATAGCCGGTCTATCGTGGGTATGAGGGGCTCACCGTCCTACCGGGGACCCTAAGTGATACCCTCTAAAAACCGCCTTTGGGGACAGGCAACCGGCTGATTAAGCTCTATTGTGCCTTATCATGAGCGACCCTCTTTTGGGAAAAGAGGGCGCAGGCGGCTAAGTGCCGCTGAGGGAGTGCCTACGAAGGCAAATTAATGTTAGATATTACAATAATTTTATTTAATTAGAGTTGGCCTGAGCCGCCAGGAGACAGTTCAGGTCGTTTGAAAGTTTATTAGGCGGGTCCGAGAGAGAGTTTCTCGGCCTGCGGACACGATAGCGAGAGGGGGGTGGGGCTGCATAAGAAGCTGCCTCACGAATTAAATGGTTTGGGGGCGACTCTGAGGCTTTGAAGAAGTTCTCAGAGAGTTTTTTAAGAAATTGTTGAATTGTTGGGAGCTCTAAGTCCCGATGAAGGTCGGCATTGCGGACGTACCACGGTGCGTTCGCAGCTCGACGACAGAAGAGGTTCTGAACTATTTGGAGTTCATTTAAAATATTAGGGTTTGCGTGGGCAAAGACGGGGCCCGCGTAGGACATTCGCATTTCACATCGCCCTTATCTTTTATACATTCACGATATAACAAAAAGGTTAGGTTTATTATTTGTAATATGTACATATTAATTGTATTTTTATCCGTTGTCTTAATTAAAATGAACTTCCCTTCATACTTTCTTCAGGCTTAGGACTGACGATGAAACATTAGAGTACAAAATTAAATTATAATGAAATATCATACAGTATAAAATGTTACATCGGCGTATTTCAAAGTTCATTTGATTTTATGTACAAATTTGAACTTTATCTATTTCTATCTATTATAACTTTGTCTATTTACACTTATTTTGTTTATATACAGTCTTAGATGCTATAATATTATACACTTATTTAGTCACTATTAGTAAGTACCTATTTGTATTTTTGTTTATTTAACTTTTTTTATAAAAAGTTTATATGATAATGGTTTACGTCCAATTAAAACGTTCTTTGTCCATATTGACATTTAAAAACATTAGTTTTTGCACTTTTTGAGTTGTAAGCCTCGTTCGCCGCCGATTTCGAAAACAACCTTTCGTGGTGACTATGTTGCAGTGTGTTTTAACAATTGATGCTAAATTTGGGTATATTTGACGATGAATTTTCCACCATTTAAGTGGATCGTTCAATTCTCCCGATGACATTTTAAGGGGAAGTGGATCATCATTTAAATACATGTCGACTTCTTTGACAGCCTTCGATAACGGAGTTCCTATGGTATAATTGCTTACAATTATACTGTCTAAAATATTAAAAGGAGAGTATTTGTTATTTTTTTCTTTTTCTATTGATGTTTCCTTTGGAACTGGTTGGAAATTAAATTGTTTTGATATTTGGCATTGTACCATTTCAATCAACTTGTTTTTTGTTAATAAACCCGTTGCCTGGTCTTCAAAAGCCT